GATGACTCACAGATCGACCTCTCTGCTCCCGACCCCTCTCCTTCGGTCCATGTCTCTGTGACATCTCCTTGCGGGTGTCTTAACCATCAACTCCGGCTGAACGGATAAAAAGACTAAAACAGAGATCTTAAAATGTTCCCCACGCAATCCTGACACTCCTGTCTCTATCCCTGCAGACAGCACCAGCATCCTTGTCACTCAGGCCCCTAAACAGGGAAACATCTCTGACATGGATGTCCCTATAGGTCCTCCCATCCAGGCTCTGTCTACATCTTGCATTTTCATTCTGCATACGGTTCCTAAGGATCTCTTGCCCAGGCTCACCTCTCCTGTTTCAAATACTGCAGCGTCCTTTCCACTGAACTTGACAAATGCCGTCTTGCCCTGCTCATGTTCATTCAGAAGGAAACCGCTGCAAAGCTGCCTCGTTCCCCTCAAACACCGAGGAGGAAAGGGTGAAAGAATTGGGGATGTTTTGTTTTTAGAAAAGAAGACTGAGGGGAGACCGGATAAACATTTTCCAATGTGTTCAGAGTCATTTTAAAGACGATGGGGATCAGTAGTTTTCCATGTCCACCAGGGTGGGACAAGAAGTAGGCTTGATCTGCAGCAAGGGCATTTAGGTTCGATACTAGGGAAAGTTTTCCAACTATGAAAATAAATAAATATTGGAATAGGTTACCAACAGGAGTTGTAGAATTCCTGTCATTGGAGGTTTTTAAAAACAGGTTAGACAAACATCTGTAAGGGATGGTCTAGGTGTATTTTATCTTGCCTGAGTTTGGGGGTGGAGTGGATTAGATGCCATCCTGAGGTCTTTTCCAGCTGTACATTTCTATACTTTTTATGATTCATTATCCTAGCCCTTCACATTGACCATGTCTCCCTGCAGAGAATATGGGCATTTCTGAAGGTTGGTTTTTTTTAATGAAAAATATGCATGACTAAATTTCCCCTCTCACTTTCCTTTGTGGCCCAGTGGATGTGAAGGAGTGAATTCCTCTTCTGGGACAGGGAATGTAGTGGCTGTTGGCGTAACATAGGCCTGTCTGGGTTGGCATGGATACACTGTTAAGAACTGTCCACATATGAATGGAGTCCCCTGGAGCGACATTGGAAAACTGAATGACTGGCTATTAACTTGTAATGTGTGGGAGCCAACGTGGGAACACACCACGATTGCTACATGGGACAAAGGGAGGAGGCCTTGAACAGACTGAGACAGGGAGACAGAGATGAAATTGAGCAGCTTTGGAAAACCTGAGCAGATGATTCCGACAACACGAACTCTGAGTGAAGTTTTGCTTTACCAGATTGACGTAAGGCTGTTTAAATCCTGTGCCTAGTAAACGTCGGCTTGTTTTGGAACGGCCGTCTTGCATTGCTGCAAATACCGACCGATTGCATCACTCCTCCAGAGCGAGCGTCTCCATAGGGATCGGCCCCATGGGTGCTCCGGGCCTGGAGCACCCACAGGGAAAAATAAGCTTGACAAAGCCCTGGCTGGAATGATTTAGTTGGGGTTGGTCCTGCTTTGAAATAATAATAATGGGGCGGCACCAAGTAGTGGAGAGGAGGGTGTTGGAGAGGTGGGAAGGGGAACCCTAGAACCACAGGGCTAGAAGGGACCACAAGGGTCATCTTGTCTACCCCTCCCGCCCCCCCACCAAGATGCAGGATTTCTTGTGTCTAAACCACCCCAGAGACACAGCTGTCCAGCCTGATTGTCTGGCTGTGTGTGTTCACAGCAGAAATGGGGATAGTTAAACCCCTCATTAAGCAGAGTGTCCTACACATCTGAGCACCTGGGAGGTGGCCCCAGCATATTACTGCTTTAAAATGGTCTGGAGTTAAAAGAATAGAATGTTTTATTGTGATGAATGTCCCATGAACTCCCCTGATCTCACTTGTTTTCTTTTCTCCAAGCAGAGTTTCCAGTTCCCAAATCTGATGTGATCTCCCAGTTGGAAGGAGAGGTAAAGCCAGGGGTCCCAGATGTCCAGGGCTCAGAGGAAAGAGAGATTTGGAGGGATGCCCACACAGGTGAGGAATCATGAAACCAGTTCAAAAGTTGGGAGTGCCTCAAGGAAACAGCTGGGATTCCCTACAAGGACCTTGTGAACTCTCTGAGTTCAGGACTGCTCCAAGCAGCTGTCATAGCTTCCTGGCAAATATCGCTCATGGCTTCCTACCCATCCTGTTTGACCCTGGCAGTAGCTCCTGTCTTGACCTCCCCTCCCATGGGCTGTAGAAGTAGATTTTCCCTGTGTGGGAAAGAGTTTGGTGGGATTCGGATCCTGATTTTTTTTTCTGTCTCTCTAGCACTTATTTTGGTTTGCCCTCGCCTTTTCCATCCCTGTTTCTGAGGTTTCTCTCTCTCTTTCTCAGCAGGTAATGGGATGTTGAATGAGAACGAGGAGCAGAAACCTCAGCAGGAAGATGCTAAGCAAGTGGGACCATACGTGGGGTTATCACAAAGCTCCAAAGGGGATGTGTCCATGAGTCATGAGCAGGGAACAGCCTGTGAGAGTGAGCACAGGCCAGAGAGAGAGCAGGGAAACCAGACAGGAGAGAACATGAGTATATCCATTGATTACTGGGAAACTCCCAAGGACCAGAAGGAAACCACAGTCCAGAAGAGAAACCCTACAGGAGAGAGAAACAACATATGCACTGAGTGTGGGAAACGTTTCAGTAGCCGCTCACACCTTAGAGAACACCAGAGAATTCACACAGCGAAGAGATCCTATGAGTGCGGGAAAACCTTCCCGCTGAGCTCACGGCTCATTGCACCTCAGAGGCTCCACACAGGAGAGAGACCCTCTGAATGCTGTGAGTGCGGGAAAACCTTCACTCGGAGTTCGTCCCTTATTGCACATCAGAGGATCCACACAGGAGAGAGACCCTATGAATGCAGTGAGTGCGGGAAAAACTTCAGTAGCCGCTCAGGCCTTTTTGACCATAAGAGAAGCCACAGTGGGGAGAGACCCTATGAATGCTGGGAGTGCGGGAAAACGTTCGCTCGGCGCTCACACCTGATTACACATCGGAGAATCCACACAGGAGAGCGCCCCTATGAATGCCACGAGTGCGGGAAAACCTTCTCTCAGCTCTCAGTCCTTATTAGACATAAGAGAACCCACACGGGAGAGCGTCCCTATGAATGCTGCGAGTGTGGGAAAAGCTTCACTCAGAGCTCATCCCTTATCACACATCAGAGAATCCATACGGGAGAGAGACCCTACGAATGCCACGAGTGCAGGAAAAGCTTCACTCGAATCTCTGCTCTTGTTACACATCAAAGCACGCATGTGGGAGAGCACCCCCTTATGAGTGCGGGAAATGCTTCACTCGGAGCTCAACCCTTATTAGCCATGAGGGAGTCCACACAGGAGAGAGACCCTACGAATGCTGGCAAACCTTCACTCGCTGCTCACACCTTATTACACAGAGAATCCACATGGGAGAGCGACCTTATGAATGCTGCGAGTGTGGGAAAAGCTTCAGTCCGAGTTCATCCCTTATTATCCGACATCAGAGAATCCACACAGGGGCGTGATCCTATGACTGCTGTGAGTGTGGGAAAACCTTCACTTGGCTTATTGCACATCGGAGAATCCATGCAGGTGTGTGCCCCTATCAATGCTGCTAGTGCTAGTGCAGGGGAAGTGTCGCTCAGTGCTCAGCCCTTCCTGCACGTCGGAGGATCCACACAGGAGAGAGACCCCAAAGATGCTTCTTGGGAGAAAAGCTTCCGTCAGCCCTCAGCCCTTATTTACCATCCGAGAATGCCCCAGGGAGATCAACGTTACAAAAACCTTGTCTAGAGCTAACAAAACATTGTTTTCTTTAATACTTTTGCTGATTCCCACATCGTGGCCTGTCAGGTTGTTTGAATCATTTGCCTCACCGTGGTCTCTCAAATCTATCAGTGAGTTGCCCTCTTGTGCCTTTTAAAGCTCGCCATTCTTTGGGGTGAGTCCTCTTGCTCTATCAACTCCTTTGTCTTATGAATCATGGGAGTGTGTCCCTCTCCTACCAGGACAGTCCCACAGCCCCAGGTTGGGGCGTTAAGGCTGACAGCAGTGAACTCCACTGACATAAAATCTACCCGATATTGCCAGGTAAAAACACAACTATTCTTTCAGTAAAAACATAGTCTGTGTATAATGGCTGCGATTATCTAGCACACTTCCTCGTGGCCTGATCTAACCTCGATCAGTTCTCCTAGTCTAAACAATCCTGGAGCATCACATTTACACAAAAACAACGAGGAGTCCAGTGGCACCTTAAAGACGAACAGATTTATTTGGGCATCAGCTTTCGTGGGTAAAAAAAAAACCCACTTCTTCAGATGCATCTGGCCGCAGGGTGCTTTGGGAAGGGTTTGCAGTGTCTCATGGAGCAGGCACATTTATACTGTTCCTCTCACTGCAAAGTAATTGTTACAGTCATCTAATTCCCTCTTCGTGGACAGATTGTCTCATTCCCAGTTGTTCTCACGTTGCCTTGGGTTGTGCTGAATGCGGGGAGGGGGTGTATTGCTTTTCTTCTTTAAAATATATTTAAATATAACAGAGAACAGGAGCAGGAAAGGAAGTGATGTTTCAGCCTCTGTGACACAAGAAAGAGAGGTGGTGAGACCGCCTTCCCCAACACCCCAGAAGTGTTTCCTTCTTTCTGAGCCATGTTGAGTTTTTCACATTCTACCCGGCCACCTCCCGAAGTGGCACGCCATGCAGCGGTCTCAGCTCTCTGTCCTTGGCAATTGCCCGTTGCTTCTAAATTTGGGGTTGTCTACATTTAAAACACTGATGTAGCTCCTCAGTGAAGACACAACCTGCACCAATGGGAGGGCTTCTCCCATCAGCGTATACCTCCCTTAGGGTAAGTCTACACTAGTAGGTTTCTGTGCCACGAGTTACACCCCTTTTATTAAAGCGCTGGAATTAAAGCGCCATGGCGTGTCCACACTGTGCTCCTTGTGGCGCTGGAGTGCAGCCACATTAGCAGCTCTTGCAATGGCACAGACAGCAGTGCATTGTGGTCGCTGTCCCAGGGTGCTTTGGGAAGGCTTTGCAGTGCCTCGTGGGGCAGGCACAGCATCACATAAGGCAGGTTTCCCAATCCCATTGTTCCATGGGCATCCTACTACATTGACTGAAGGGTGGGGAAGAGTGTGTGACAGGGAGTGTGTGTGTGTGCATGGAGGGGGGGAGAGAGACAGTGTGTTTGCGGGGAACAGAGTGTATGTCAGCATGCTGTCTTGTAAGTTCAGACAGCAGCAGGAAGCAACCAGTCCTGAATCATAGAATATCAGGGTTGGAATGGACCTCAGGAGGTCATCTAGTCCAATCCCCTGCTCAAAGCAGGACCAATCCCCAACTAAATCATCCCAGCCAGGGCTTTGTCAGGCCGGGCCTTAAACACCTCTAAGGAAGGAGATTCCACCACCTCCCTAGGGAACCCATTCCAGTGCTTCACCACCCTCCTAGTGAAATAGTGTTTCCTAATATCCAACCTAAACCTCCCCCACTGTAACTTGAGACCATTGCTCCTTGTTCTGTCATCTGCTACCATGGAAAACAGTCTAGATCCATCCTCTTTGGAACCACCTTTTAGGTAGTTGAAAGCAGCTATCAAATCCCCCCTCATTCTTCTCTTCTGCAGACTAGACAATCCCAGTTCCCTGAGGGAGAGGGAGACCCCGACATCAGCCCCCGCCTCCCTCCCTGGGCTCTCTGCACAGCAATCTCTCTCTCTCTGTCTCTCACACTCACACACACACACATGCCTCTGTGTTCAACAGCACGATCATTCCACATTAGTGGTTTGCTTTATGTCCCAGAGCAGATCAGCACAGCACGCCAAGGCTGTCAGAAAAGGCACTTTGAAAGAAGAGGGGCGCATGTCTCCAGGGGCAGCCGAGTTCAAAACAATGAGCAGAGTGCTCACTCGAGGCCTTACGGGACAGCTCCGGAGGCCAATGACAGCGCAGAAACCAGTCACGTGTCTACCCTGGCAATAGAGCGCTGGACCTTTTCTCAAATAGCCTGACGACCCTCGTTGAGGTGGGGGGTTTTGCAGCGCTGTTGCTGAGGAGTTTCTGCGCACAAAGTGGCTTGGCAGTGTGTGCATGTCTGCAGTTTGAGCGCAGAAAGCTGCTTTCCTGCGCAGAAACTTGCCCATGTAGTCAAGCCCTAAGAGGTGAGCGCTAGGTTGACAGGAAAATTCTTCTATTGACCTACTGCTATCTACACTGGGGGTTAGGTTGGTTTAACTGCTTCGCTCAAGGGTGTGGATTTTCCACACCCCTGAGTGATGGAGTTATACTGACCTAATTTCCTACCGTAGACCAGACCTTGGGCTCATTAAAGCTGGAGATGAAAGTGTCACAGACCTGGGAGATGAATTTGAATGGATCCCAAACTCTGTGATTATTCAGAGTATAAGCCCCAGTGTCTATCTATTGGCAAAGCCACTTCTAGGCTTTTTACTGCTGAGTTGGTATTGTTTGCAGACGGGAAGGTTGGGTGTTTTTCTCCACTACGATGCTGCTAACTTTTGTAAATAAGATGATTCAAGAAGTGCTGAGAGACGTAGTTTTGAATGGATCAGAGGAGAATGCTATGGGAGAATCTCTTCTCCTGATCATTGTATATGAAACTGAAAGTGTCTTATACTTCTCTGTGATGTGGGTTTTTCTCTTTTTTTCTGAAGTCTATTTGCTCCCATAATTGGCTATTAGTTTTGTTTGACTGAATGAAGCTCAGATTTATTAGGGTCTTTAACCAATAACCATTTACTAAAATAATCATTTCTTATGTTGCTTTTGCTTTTCTCCCGCACCTCCACGATGATTTGGAGGAAACTCAAGTGCCGTTCAGTCAACAGGAGAGACTACGGCATGCTATTGGGCATGCTACCGAGGAAATCTCCATTCTGAAATGGTGAATAGCTGCACACCCCAAATTGTACAACTAACAAAAGTAAACTGCATATGATTACACAGTTGTTCAGTTCTTTGGGTCTCAGATTCCCCAAGGAGAGAATTCCTCAGTCAGTGATTTGGAACTTGGCAAAATACCCTTGTATTTGATTCCCAAAGTAGTTATGGTCTAGGTCCTTCAAGAGTTTACTCCTTAATATATCTCCGAGCTAATCCTATGATATGGATAAAGATGTCCCTATCTGTGTAGATGTGGAGGATGTAGAAATCACATTTTTTCTGAACACATCTTTTGTAGATGCTGCAAATGTGTATAAAATGAAATCAGTGTTGAATGTGAGATAACTGCAGAACGTCTATTTTTGAATAGATCCCTCACTTTCGGTGGTTTCCAGGGATTCAGATCCAGGCCTGTTTCTAGTCCCGAATTCAGACCTGTGCCACCATATTAAAGAAAGAAATTGGGCCTGTTTGGGGAATATTCCTCATGGCTACTGAAAAGTGCCTGGTTTGATAAAGGAGTTTACTTCAGCGAAGTGTACATTTTCCCTCAAGAAGGCCAAGGATTTGGCAACAACTCCAGTCTTATTAGCAGGTACACCGTGGATGGTTTTCACCCCCGAGAAGGACACCAGGCTGATATAGGCCCTGATAAAACTGTTTTTTATAACACAGCTCCCTAGTTCAGTGGAATTTATTGTGGTCCCAAAGGATGCTATGATTAAACTGGAAACATTGGAAAAAATAACCCCAACTATACATACAACATGATGGGGGCTAATTTAGCTACAAGAAGTCAGGAAAATGATCTTGGAGTCATCGTGGATAATTCTCTGAAGATGTCCACGCAGTGTGCAGAGGTGGTCAAAAAAGCAAACAGGATCTTAGGAATCATTAAAAAGGGGATAGAGAATAAGACTGAGAATATATTATTGCCCTTATATAAATCCATGGGACGCCCACATCTCGACTACTGCGTACAGATGTGTCTCCTCATCTCAAAAAAGATATACTAGCACTAGAAAAGGTTCAGAAAAGGGCAACTAAAATGATTAGGGGTTTGGAACGGGTCCCATATGAGGAGAGATTAAAGAGGCTAGGACTCTTCAGCTTGGAAAAGAGGAGACTAAGGGGGTATATGATAGAGGTATATAAAATCATGAGTGATGTGGAGAAAGTGGATAAGAAAAAGTTATTTACTTATTCTCATAATACAAGAACTAGGGATCACCAAATGAAATTAATAGGCAGCAGGTTTAAAACAAATACAAGGAAGTTCTTCACACAGCGCACAGTCAACTTGTGGAACTCCTTGCCTGAGGAGGTTGTGAAGGCTAGGACTATAACAGGGTTTAAAAAAGAACAGGATAAATTCATGGAGGTTAAGTCCATTAATGGCTATTAGCCAAGATGGGTAAGGAATGGTGTCCCTAGCCTCTGTTTGTCAGAGGGTGGAGATGGATGGCAGGAGAGAGATCACTTGATCATTACCTGTTAGGTTCACTCCTCTGGGGCACCTGGTATTGGCCACTGTCGGCAGACAGGATACTGGGCTAGATGGACCTTTGGTTTGACCTGGTACGGCCGTTCTTATGTAATTATCCTTTACCATTTGTATCCAAAGTTTCATGAGGCTTAGAGAGAAGTGGTGCCTTTGATACAAAGGAACTGGATTTGACATAATTCGCAGCCATCTTGTGCACTTAGAAGCAAGAACACCACATAGGAATAATTTGGCCTTGCTTAGGCAGACAGAACAAAACCAGCTGCAAACTGCAGTTTTACGAAGTAAAAATAATAAAGTGAAAGGACAAATTCAGAAGAAGGGGGGAAAATGTAAAAAACTGACCTTGAATCTGGTTGTCTGTGTTGGTAAGTTCTTTTGCTAAAGCTGCTTTGCAGTTAAGGAGAATAATGAATTGTTGCTAGAAAAATTGGTAGCTTATTAGGGGCTATTATAAGTTATGGCTTTGTCAAAAGAAAATGTATAGCAAGTTTAGTTAGAAAGTGTGCATTGAAGCAGTCCAAGGTGCTTTCCTTTGGGCAAGGATCTGGCACCTAAAGTGCTCAGCAACTGGACAGAAGGAGGGCTCCTGGAAGGCTGGTTGTGGATTCCTCAAGAGCATTTCAAACGTTCGGTAAATATAAATGTTTTGACTGCTCTAACTCTACTGCTACAGCATAGATATATATGTGTGTGTGCTTCAAACCTAATAAAAAGCAGTTTTAAATAAAAGCACTTTTGTTTGTGCCGATCATTTTATCAAATGGAGGAGCTGTGTCCCCGTTGATTTATTTCTGACATCACCTGAAGAAAAACCGTTAAGTTACCATTGCTTTGGGTTCTGAAAAACCTGGGTAACAGATTTGGCAAACCAGTTGCCAGGAGTGATGGAGGGGAGGGAGCGATTGGTACAAACGGTTTATTTGTTTGCTGTGCAAGAAGGGAGTTGCAACCTGTAATTTCCCCCATTTCAGAGTCCACAAGTCAATGTATGGATACATTCCAGTACTGGGAGTCAGGGCCCAGGTCCGGTAGCCTGGTTGAGTAAGAAATTATGTCAGGAGGAAAGGGAACATCTGGAAAGAAAGAACAGCTGGAAATGATTTTGGGAAACAGCTTGACTGGTTTT